CAACCCTCGCAGCCACGCCAGCCTTCACGCGGGAAATTGGTATTCCCGGTGAAATCACCCATTTCTGAAATCCACAGTGAAGCCTGTTTGTCCTGACGAGCCTGTGACATCAGTGCCTTTCTTCATGACGTCATGACTCCACATACAGCCAGACTGGGATGTCACAAGCAGAGACACTGAGCAGAAGTGAAAAGAGCAATGAAGCAACAAGATTTGGGATTTTTAGCAAAATCTCATCAACAACACTAAATAATGCTTCCTCCCCCCAAAGCCAGCAAATACCCCCCTCCCTCCTTGATTTCTTAATTACATTTTTACCGTGGTAAGACAAAAACCCCACTGCCGGTCCCAAAAGGGCTTGTCGTGGGGAAGAGCTGGTAGAAGCCTTCGTGGCAGGGTCAGCTGGGCGGCTCGTGGTGCCTCGTGGTGTTTTTTTAAAGACAACCTTAAAAGCTATCTCAGGAAACAAAGTACTGTCCCAGCGCCTGGCCGGAGCCCTTGGCCACCGCGCCGGGAGGGGGTGTCCAGCCTGGGGCCAGCGGTAGCATCACCATGACTGGTGGTCCCACCGAGCTGCTGGCTGCCTCGTCCGAGCGAGCCCCCTCGTCCGGGAGCCACTCATCTGCCCGAGCCGCACCTATATACATACATATATATGTGTGTATATATGTCTCTATATACCTGTATACTCGGAAGAGGCACCATTTAAGCCAAGAAGTGTCGGTTGTCCAGCGTTAACCCCTGGGAGAGGAGTGGAGGCAGGGACCTGCACAACTTCCCCGAGGTGGCAAAAGCACGTTGAAGTTGGTGGTGAAGGCACGCCGAAGAGGAGGCTGGAGGGAAGAGGCTGAAGTAAGGGCAAAGATGGACCTGGGAGCGGCTGCAAAGGAACAGGATGGGGCAGGCCTGGGCAGCAGGGCCGGGCGAGAGGGTCGCTGCGGTGGAGCTGTAATGGCAATGCCTTCTTCCCCCACGAAAAATTGCATCCTTTCCCGTGAAGGGCCAAATTCCGTTGTGGGCGACACTGATTTTTAATGCAGATCCCTCCCCACGATGGACTCGTTCTGCCTTTCAAAGGAAACAGTCCAGACTTTTCACCGGCTCCAGCACCAGCTGAGATGGCTCCAAACCCAGCAGAAATTTGTTGATCTCCCCCCAGCTCCCTCTCTTCAGGGACTGGTTTTGCACCCGGTGCTCCGGGGAAGGTCTGGCCATCGTGTCCTGCTCGTGGCCAGCTCAGAGCCTGGATTCCCACCCTCTGAGACAAGAAATACCCCCCCCCCCCCCAAAAAAAAAATACTGATTTCACAAGACTTTCTTCCATTCACCATGTTACATCCCTTAATATCAGCTTGGGACCTGGGTTGAAGGAATCGTGGCAAGCCCAACCTCAGACGGCTGATATTTATTAATTTTTTAAATGGGATTAAAAACAAAACGAACCCTCTTACAAGCACCAGCCCCCAGCTCCATGCCTGGGAGCCTGGACCGCGGGGGAGCCAGCTGATGATGCTCACCTGCAGCGTTTATCTTTTGCTCCGATGACACGGTGTTCACAAAACCACAGAAAGGATGAAAAACCAATTTCAAATATCTCTTTTCAGCCTTTCCCTTTCAATTCTTCCAGGCCAGTTTCTTGTTTCAAGTCCTCCTGAGATTCGGCGCCCTCATCACATGAATGATGTGATGCCTCCTGCCCCACCGGCTGCGGTAGCCGGTGCCCGCCGGGGCAAGCATGGTGCTGGCTACTGTGCTGGTGGAGTTGCCGGGCCATATTCTGCACCCGCCACACTGGTTTGGTCCGCTGCTTTTTCACCCTTTCTGGTAAGCACGGCGGCACCAGAGCTGATTTTTCACGGCCCGTGGTTTATCTGCAGAGAAAGAGCGGGCTGGGGAGCCAGCGTCGCCCTCCTGCCCTCGGCATCGCCCGCTGCTCCTTGGGCCTCTCCGCAATCACTCATCCCTCGAACCTAAGACCACGCTGGAGGTTTCCACA